TCTCTTTGTGTTCGGGGAGCCTCTTTAGATAGAGGTATCCCCTTTACTGCTACGCACCAATAAAGGAATTTTGCTCTAAAGAGTTTCTTGTGTCCGGCGAAGTTATTGGCAATCGTCTCCGGGCTAAGAACCCCGTTTTGGGTCCAATACCCCAATGTCATGGTGAAGGAAGCGTCTTCTTGCCATCTTCTGACTTACTGCCTTGTGTTGTTCTCTGTGTCAGCAGTGGAGACCTTATGGCCCACTCAAATTATAGCTTGCAGCTGCTCCAACTAGTAAGCCCTCTGTCAAGAAATGCTGTGAGATGAAACTCAGCAATGGCTGCGCATTTCGTACCCCTGCCAAGATATGTCTTCCTTCCAGCTGAAACAGAGCAGGTATACTTCCAGGTCTGGATTATATCTTTTTGCAATTAAGTCTGTGGAGAGGAGGCAGGATACATATGTTTAAATAAATAAAATAATTTGGGCCTGTTTCAGCTATTGAGAAAAATGTTCCCTGAAAGTAGCAGATTTGCAAATGTACCATACATAGTCGAAGAAAGAGACCTTGTGCTGTAAATAGTTAAGTGGTTAAGGATTTTTATCATTTCAGCAGCATTGTGATGAGATAAACTCTGCATTATCTGCAATAAATACTTTACCCAGATATTGGAAACCGGCCTAATGGAAGAGGAAGCTGTGCTGCTACCTGAAGTATATAAATATGAAACTGCAGACTGCAGGTAGAACTATTGCCTTGTTCCAGGTAAAATAGGTTTTGACTCTTAGGATGTTTGTTTACTTTCTGCTTGTCAAACTTCACCATCCCGGGCAGAGGCAAGGCTATATTGTTTGTGGCCCCTTTTGCATGCAGGCCTTTGAATACTGTTGGAAGTGATTCTGCTACTAAAAGGTTCTACAAGGTCTTCAAAAAATAATAATGTTCTCTGCTATGGTTCCCTGTGTAATGCACGTCCCCATCTCGAAAGGAAAAGTGGGCAGCATGCTACTTTACTATAGCAATCTCAGGCAAAAGGAAACTAACATTTGAAAAATGGGCTGATTCTTTAAAAGAATCCCTTTATTATTTTTGGACTTGCTGCCTAATTCAAAAGCAGAACGAAAGTTAGAAAGTTAACAGAAAAGTCTGTGCTGGATTTTGATGCAGTACTTAATAGGGGACGGAATGTGTTGCGGGGCAATGTAACACTCATTCATCCCCTTCGGTTACTCTGAATGAGGTTGTTGGAGGAAGAGTGGCTGGGGTAGCTGAAACTTTTTTCTCAATAGCTGAAAGAGGGTTTCCTCTATCTCACAGTGGCTTGCTAACATTGCTGGTTTCCCATTGCTGGAAAGTAGTGATTTCAAGTAGGGTTTCTTGCACGAGTATGGGAAGCCTAGTCCACTCTGTTTCAGAAATTATGCTCAAGATTGCTGGTTTCTAGCTACAAAAAAACCAGAAATCTTGACTCCTGCTGGTACAAATGGGAAACAACAGGTTTCCTCCCCCCCCCCCCCCCCCCC